AAATTATGGTTGGAGATTTTAATTCTCACCACACTAGCTGGGGTTATAGGACTGATCAATGTGGACAACGCTTGTGGGACTGGTCTATAGACCATAATTTATCATGCCTCAGCGCTAGAACTCCCACATTTATCCGAGACCGATCCCGCTCTGCCTTAGATTTGAGTTTATAAGCTCGGGTATTTCTAGCGTATCTTGGACTACTCTAGACTGCGCCACCAACAGTGACCACTTACCAGTACTGTTTGAAATTTCTTGCCCCATTATTCCATCTTACTCCCAAGCTCGAACCTTTATCAATTATTCCAAATTTAAAAATGACCTAGAAGTTGCTTTGACTACCCCCACTGAAGACAACGATGAAAATAAAGCCATGAAATTAAGTGCGGTAATTAAAAGAACGTTCAAAAAAGCAGAATTTTCTATTGAGTCTGATACGAGAAAGCCTTGTAGCCAGTGGTGGAATTCTGAGTGCTCTCGTGATCATAGACGACGACAAGCGGCTTGGAAGCAGCTAATTCATAATCAGTCCCCCAAAAATTGGGCAGATTACAAGTTTATTGCTGCTACATTTAAGCGCACCGTGGCTAAAGCTAAAGAAGACTATGACAAAAAACATTTCGACTTTCTTTCCAAACCTAGAAATAAGAAAGCGTTATTCCGATATATGAGATCGCGCAAAATTCTGCCGTCTCTAGCTAACTCTGATTATGACAGGTTATCGACGGAAGAAATGACTAATTCGTTAGAGGCAATCGGAAGAGGTTTAGCTAACAGATTTTCGTCGACTTTGACAATCAACTGGCAAAAGTCCTCTATAAAGACTGACTACGAAAAAGTGACATTGTCCGAAATGTCAAGCGTAATTAGAAACTTACCCTCTTCGGCTCCTGGTCCTGACGGTATAACAGTTCCTATGATTAAATTTTATTCCAGATATCACCCGGCGACGTCCTCAACCTTATAAACTATTCCTTAAGCAATGCCTGGATACCACATGACTGGAAAATAGCTAGAGTGATTCCCATATTAAAAAAACAAGGGTCAGGTTTTAACATTGACAACATCAGACCAATCTCTCTAACATCTCACCTGATCAAAATTATAGAGAGAGTTCTCAATAATAGAATAAAAGTTTGGATGGCTGACAAGCTAATATTGAAACCATTTCAAATAGGTTTTCGTAGCGAATGCTCAATTTGGTGTGCTCATGCCGACTTAGAGAGCCGAATACAGCTTGCCCGAAAAAGACGACAATACGCGGTACTAGTAACACTAGACATAGCTAAAGCTTATGATAGCGTTGAGCACTCAATTTTATTGAATTCTTTACACGAATGTGACTTTCCGCGTTATATTGTTGATTGGGTAGCAGAGTTTCTAAAATCGAGAGAATTTTATTGTGCAAAGGATGGATGTCACTCATCTAAATTCAAACAGCAACGTGGAGTACCTCAAGGGGCGGTCCTATCTCCGCTGTTATTCAATGTGTTGATGAGCTCAATTCCCATTGAACGAGATATCACTGTCTACATTTATGCAGACGACATTGCATTCTTCGTTGCAGATAGTGACATTTATTCTTTGCATCAAAAATTGCAAAAGTACATGTATTCTCTTGAAATTTGGCTGCATTCAATTTCATTGTCTCTAAACATCAGTAAAAGTGCGCTCCTGGTGTTCCCTATAGCAGATTCTATTCAAATTTCAGTACTTTATAATCAGGAACCGATTCCACAAGTAGAGTCTATCAAATATTTGGGCATTATTTATAACGAGAAACTTAACTGGAGCCCTCACATAGACTATAACGTGGCAAAGGCACAACGAGCTTCAGGCTTATTGCGAAGGTTGAGCAACAGAAAATATGGGTTACGTAGACACACCTTATTAATGATATATAAAATGTACATGCGCCCAATACTCGAATTTGGGTGTATATTATTTTCGGGTGGCCCTACGTACAAAATTAAACCGTTAGTTCTATTAGAGCGAGAAGCGTTACGGTTGTGTTTGCGACTCCCCAGGTATGTCGCTATTAATGTACTATATCAGGAAGCTCGCATACCAACTATTCTTTGCCGATTCCGTATCTTAACAGTACAAACATACTTGAAATTTTACGGCTTATCAGCGAGACGGTCTGCATATGCCTTTATTAGTGACCCCGACGCCTTCTTCCTCGCTCACTGGCCACGCTTTCGTACTCCCCAGATTATTTTTGTACAAAAGAAACTTGAAAACATAAAGGTGGATATCAGATCGGTAATTGGAACCAAAGCATTAAATCACAATATTACGATAGAATGTGATGAAATTTTTCCCCCACTATCTAAGTTTCAATCTTCGAGTTACTTAAATGACAGGTTAGAAGACTACATAGCTCATGCGGAAATAAAGAACATAATAGCCACAGACGCTTCTGTGAATAAAGAAAAGGCAGCAGTAGGAATCGTCTCAGATTACCTCGGTTGGTCATTCTCGGTAAGACTACCAGACTTCACTCCGGTTTTCGAAGCTGAGCTCCTGGCTATTATTTTAGCGCTACGAAAACTTCCTTCAAACGAAGAGAGTGCAATGATAATTACTGATTCTCTTTCGCTGTGTACTACTCTCACAGCTTCAGAACAATCAAGAGCTCTAGCGACATTACAAACATTAGTTCCACCTCATGTGAAGTTCCTGAAGTTAGTCTGGGTCCCGGGACACTGTGGCATACGGTTGAATGAAATAGCCGATTCACTATCTCGAGCCACACTTGATGGCCCTGTGATCTCGGTACTACCAGAATCGGAACACATAGTGTCGATCAGATATAGAAAATGGGCTATTTATACGGATATTATGGAAAATATTACTAAATATACGGACTATCAGCACCTAACATACCCCTGGAAACCTCAGTGGAGTCAATCTAAAAAGTTAGAAGTTATTTTAACCAAATTTCGATGTCGTGTCCCTCCATTAAACTTTTACTTGCACAGAGCTGGTCTGGCGATATCCCCCCTGTGTCCATTCTGTGAAGAAACGGAAACAATAGAGCATTACTTTATAACATGTAAAAACTATTCATTAATTAGGAAAAGACTTTTAATTGTTCCGTTTCAAGCAGTAGGTTTAAATTTAACTGCAGATAATGTTCTAAGTTTCGGTGCCTTTAGCTTGGGACATTGCCACAGGAGCGTATTCGATGCTGTATGCAATTTCATTCGAGAATCAAAGCGCATGTCATAATAATGCCTGCTTAAATATATTTCTGAAGACACTTGTCTAATTTTGAATGAAATTTGCATATTCATTTGATTGTGACCGGGTGAGATAAGCTCGATTGTCTGGTCTACTCAAAATTTCTGTCTTCCACTGTAGTATTACCTCACCTTTTCTCTTCTTGATTCAATCTTCAATTATTTGTTTAGTTTAATATTCCTTTTTAGTTAATTATTATTTTCTATTACATCATTAGTTTTTTCATTAAGGATAAACCTTTTAATATATCTCATATAGGATACTTCTAGATTTCATGGCCAATCCCCCATAGTGGGTATGTGCCAGTGCGAAGGGGCAACAACAACAACAACAACTGGTCCCAGCCCGCCAGTGTGCCAACCATTGTCGTCGCGTGTAAAAATTGTAAATATCCGCAAATATACGTTTCTTGCTAAGATTATTGGTGGAGGTGCTGGGTACGCCTACCTGGCTCTCCCGGCAAACCAACACGCAACTATATTTATAATTATCTACTTGTAATACTGGACTACCATGAAGGGTATAGTTAAAAGCGACGGGAAGTTTTTCTTTTTTTTCCTTGTAACGCATAACAGAACAGTCTTTTTTTTTTCGGAATTGAGCACGATATTCTACTTACACCATTAAGAACTGTCTGCAATACATTTTGATCAGCTGTAGACGATATTTTTTGGAAAAAAATACAGTTGTCTGCAAATAATCGAATGCTTCAATCCTGGGGCACGACGTCCACCAAATAACAGTGAACCCAGGACACTTCTTTGGGGAACACGAGAGCATCCTGGCCGCCTGGTCTGGAGGTGTTTGTTACCTAGCTTGGTTGTCTTTGTACAGGTGGTCCTGATACAATCTCTCGAGCATATTGCACCTTCTTCTGTATACTAAATGCCTATAAAACCTTACGCAATATATTTATTAATATAATTCTTTCTTTATATACCTTTCTTCCTCTCTCTTGTCGTCCTCTTGCCCATGCGATCGAGTCATTGCATATCCTACTTGCGCCGGACAAATTGGCACCCTTGTGAGAGCCAAGCGAATGATGAAAAGAACAAAGAGAGCGCGTGCTGGCCGAGTTATTGCATTCATATGTTGATGCTATATTTCTTTACACGACCATAATTTCTCCTCGCGAAGAAATATGATTTCGTTTTTACTTGATAGTGGAACTTTCCAATTCCTGTGGCACATACCCTACCGAGTTTTTGGTTCACGGGACAAAAAAAAAGGATTTGCTAAACAGCTTTTATAGATGGCCCAAAAATAGTGCAATGACTTTCCACGAAGCACATTGCGAGACAAAGCACCAGCCGTCACTGGGCTGTCGTTAGGAAGCGTGCATGGTTCCTGTTCGAGCAAGTATGAGTTGTTTAAGGTGGTCCGTACGTTATTTTTTATTGAAAAAATTTCCGCTACATTACTTTTCGCCACCACCGCACAATTCAAATCACTGTAAAAAAAGACATAATTTTTTTTCAAAAAAAAAAAAGAACGATAGTGATTAGAAAGATGACATTCTAAACGATCATTTTTTATAATGTAAACGAAGATGGTCGAGCGCATCGTTGAAGATGTTTGGCATGCAATAAGTCAATCACCAACACACAAACACACAAAGTAAATTTTGCATTGCAAGCTTGAAAAAAAAAAAAACGAAACAGAAACCGAAACTAGCCTCAAAGCGACGGAAGTTCGTCATAGAACGTTAGCAACTACGCCTTTGACTTTCTACCGCTTCGCCGCTTCCTCTTTCCGCCAAGCCTCGCCGCAGCCGCAAACAGCAAGCTGACGGCAGTCGCAATTCATTCAAAAACGATACTTTTACCGAAATTCGAAGCATCGGAAGGAAAGGTTAGCCTTTCAAGGCTTTCGTAACTGTTTGTGGGATTCAACGATTTAATAGGAACTCTTGAAATGAAAATCTGGACGTCAGAACACACGTTCAAGTAAGTGCGCGCCGTCTTCGACCTTGGAGAATCTGATGCAAGTTGTTTTGCATGACAAGTGCACAGCTTGGAGTCCACCTTGCTCGTTGATTATTGTGACTTATATTGTGGACGTGAAGCAACGCTTCTATTCACAAAACAAATATTTACTGGCATGTAACTGTTGGCATCGACCTACAACCCATTCAATCTTCCGTGTTCGGGCACTGTCGTTCGTTGGAGTGTCAGTGTGTGTCGTTATTCTGTTTATTTGTCAATAAGTATTTGCAATCATCTAGAAGTACGTACATTTTTTTAAGGTTAACTCTGCACTTTTATTGTGCGGTGATGCTAAAAAAATGTGTGAAATGCAAGAACGTTGCTTTGCTCAACAAGACATTCAGGGTAGCCGTCTCTCATGGTAACTTCATGCGGCGTGGGGCTGCGCAGCTACTAAGATATTTGTCATAATAGTCTTCCAACATCCGAATCAGCGAAGGACCACAGTAGACTGCGTGGTGGATGCGACAGCGGAAGAATTGTTGGTGCTTTGCGTCGTTGCGTGACGTCACGTCCTTGTTGATAACGCTGGGAATGTTCCTCTCGCTTGGCTGCGTGTCATCGGCTTGACGTCAACCTCTACCGTTTTAATTCGTGTGTTGCGCATGAGTGCACAATTACTTCGACGAAGACGTGTTGCGTGCGGGATTGTCACACAACCATTTTAGATTATCTGCACCGAATTTATCGACCGCGATTGGTAGCAATCTGTGTCTTCCGCGAATAAGTCAATTGTGATTGAACTTAGAAGTCTGGCAGCTTGGGCTAGTTGGTATGACATGACGATAGTTATAGCGAGAACAGAAGGAAAACACAGAGACAAGAAGGACACGAGCGCTCGTGGCCTTGTCTCTGTGTTGTCGTTCTGTTCTCGTGCTATAACTATCGTCATGTGATTGACCGTGCACCGTGTTATTCCAACACATCATTGCCTTTCACAAATTGGTTTCCATATTGCACTGTTCCGTTTTACTTTCATGTTTTACCAATTCTATTTTACCTGCATGGATATACTTAGGATATTCTGCATATATTTTCTTCAGCAAAACTAAAATTTCTGCTTAATGAGCACAGCAGTTTCAAATAGATGTATCATTTGCATTGCTTGTGCACATGCGCTGTTTTGACATGTCTACCTAAGAGGTTAGCATACTATGCATGCACAGTGGCAACTAATGCTGATGTGAAGCTTGCTGTGCCCTATTCTAAAGCAAGACAGTAGAGTTTTGAAATAGGGTTCCTAGCATTTGTGTTGCTTGAGTATGTAAGCTCATTTGGAAGCATCTTCCTGTAGCCATGCTTCCAGTTAGCAAATATGTGCATGCATAGTGGTCACGGATGCCGATGCCAAGCTTTGCATACACCATGCGAAACATGCTGCGCCTGTAGGTGATACAACCGTTAAATGCGTCGCCAGGGCCAAGGCCACTTCAGTTTCCACTGGCGGGCTATGAATCAGTCTCTCTGTCTACTACACCCACATTTTATTCAAGTGTGTGTGTGTGTGTGTGCGCGAAGGTGACATATTTGATAAAATAGGTAGGCTTTCAGAAAGTTATCAGTGCAGGATTCTTTTAGGGCCTAAAACGAAAAGAAAGGACATAAATATGCACAATCTATCATGTTTTTGATGTGACAGAAAGCACAGACGGGCGTGTTTTGAAAGGGCGATTCATGCGGCCGGCCAGAGTAAGCACCAAAGCTTAGGGCATTACCAATAATGTTTGTATGCATTCTTTTTTGTCATTTTTTCTGCTTATTGTGGAGTTAATGATGACGTTTGGTGTCTGACAAGTGACAACCCCATGCAATGGGCGCAAGTAAATTGTGCGATCGCTGACTTATTGCATTGCATTTAGTAATGCACGACAGTTCTGCAAAGTTTTCGGTACTGTAGGTCAGCTCCGTTTGTAGATGTTGCTCGGGCATGAGTCCTTGAGTTAGTTACCTTGTCACCTGCCAGCCTTGCACGTGATATCTTAGCTGTCCCATAACGCAATAGAACAAGTGCGTGGCTTCACTTGGCACGCAGTGCTGTTAAAGGCAATGGCAGTACAAGGAGGAAAAAGTTTTTAAATTTTCACAGTCCACAACACATTTTGCTAGGCATGCAAGGCTTCTTTACCATTCATGTGTAGCAGGTTTCATTTGGAGACAACTCATATATTTTAAGCACCACGAAATATTCATAGAGCCCTGTCTTAATGTGTCTGTATGTTTCATTAGGTAATGACAAGCTAATGCTGCAGCATGTGTCTGTGCTGCCAGTGTAATTTTTTTGGTCATTTAAGCATGAAGGATAATTTTTTTGTGCGTGTATAGGCCTACTTCATGTTTGTAAACACGGTAGGCCCTGAGTGATGTCACGGCGCGTTGCATCTGCCCAGTCGTCCTAGCTAAAAATGCTCCACCACCCTCTATGTTCAAGTGGCAACAGTGCAACAGGTGCACAAGCTGCCTTCGAGAACAGTGCATCGGGACACCTCGCGCATGTTTACAAGTGGCGGCTGAAACAGTGAAAGTTGCAGTGGCTGTAGAGGGGTTCTGATATGAAGGTGAGCTATGTTGATGTGTAGCTCTAGCTTCGAGAACCTCATCAAAACATAAGAGGTATCTTAACGACGGAAATGTAGCCCATTGCGAAACGCCATCGTCATTGCTGCAGCCTACGTCACAAATGCACATTTTAATTGGTGCTAATGCAAGGACAGACCCAATTCAGCAAGAAGCTCTAGGGTACAATATGCAAATGCATGGTGCAAAAATGCATAGCCATGAATCGTTACGGTAAGTACTCACATACGACAAGTGTATTAGAAAAGTTATTCATGCAAATGGCAAGGGCAATCTCGGCGACACTTTCATCCGCAATACGCTTGTGATAATGCTTCGATAACATGCTGTAGACAATACGGTTAAGTACCTGTAAGGTTCGTGGCTCAATTCGTACGCTCAAGCCGACACCGCGAAATGCCTACGAACTGCAGACAGACTCAGCAAGTTTCTCAAGTAATGTATTTCTGTGAATTCACACAGAACAGACATGCAAATCTCGTGAAGCGCACCACAGCCAGGACAGCTCTGCCCGATACACTGGTGTATCACAGCCGCATATAATCGGAGAAAGCATTGTCTAAGTCATCCTTTCGTTTGCTGGTACTTTAATGAACTGTACCCACGCAAAAAGAAACACATGCTCGATTGTTGGCTTGATGACCGAGTGAAACCTTTAGTTCACGCGAGTATAATGATATTGTTGTGACGTTTCGAAAACTTGCAGTTATATCAGCAATGGCAACCGTAAAAAACGCTTCGCATGTGGCAATGCAAAATTAATGTGGTTTGAGTTAAACGTGCTCGATGTGCCTCCACGGCTTATTTAAAAAGAAACTGCATAATTCCACGGCTTATTTCAACGCCTGAGAGAGCTAATCCTTTTTTCTAGGTAAGCTGCTCCAAAATATAACTGATGAAGGGGCGTCGAAGGCACATTTTCGCGTTTCACAGCTGTGGCTGATCTGCGACAGTTATCGTCTACAGAAAACCGGGGGAAAAACAAAAACATCTAGCCCATTTTTCTTGTGCCTTCCCTTGCAAATAACCGTGACAGCTCGCCGATACACCGCTTTTTCTTCTTTGCACGATGACAAACAGCGCATGCACCAGGGAAAACACAGTAGCAACTGCGGTAGGTCCAGCAGCTTTTGCCTACCACGCAAAACCAAACACCTGACGACAGTGCCACCATGTTTTCGTGTTGAATGTGCAGTAAAATTCGTCTAACTCAACCGTGCAGGTTTAACTCGAGTTCATCTGTATTCTGTTTACTGTTCTCAGTGGCTGCTTTGTGTAAAGTTTGATGGGTGCATTGACGTTGTGGTACTCTTTCTGGCACTTTACACAGCCATCCATGGGAGACTGTTGCCCAGGCTGCATGGCGGAAGTACCCTAATCCAATGAACCCTGCTGTGGTTGGCATTGATGTTGTAGACCGAAAGGTCCACAATGGTGTCCTCAAAAGTCACCGGCTCATCAGCACAGCGTGGGGATTTCCTGCGTGGGCACAAAGGGTGAGCTCTTTTGTTGTCTGCATTTGCTTTTAGTGTTTGTAGGTATGCAATTGTGAAGTCTGTCAATGGGCACAGGTCAATATTAGGCATTTATTGTGACTATATAGGTATGGTGTATTGCTGTTCTTCAACTGCCGTAATATTAAACTTTTTCACGGCACACTTACCAACATCGACATTACTTTGACATGAGACTACAGTACTAATCCTGGTGACTTCAAGCAGCAGTCTTGCTAGTTGTGATGACATCAAGTACCAAAACACAAAATATGGCAGCTTGCGTGTCGCCTTCTCGATCATCTGCTTGCGCTATGCGGTCGTGCAGTCACTGTCATCCAGCGTACCTATAAATCGAGTTAGCAGAATCTGGAATAGTGTACGTGCATGCGAATACAACATATATGCTTATAAGAGGGCAAAGGAATAATTTGATTTTGAATTTATTGTCATGGCGCCAATATTTCGCCTTATGAAGTTTTGCACCAGTGAAACAAGGGATGATAGGTGCAAGTTTCACCGATTCCAATCTAATATGGCTCTGAGACAAGCGTGGGTCAGCTTCGTGTGCCAAGGCGGAGACTGGACGCCTACCAAGTGAAGTTCACTCTGCTGAATTTCAGTCCGGATGCGTACACGCGCATCATGAAGATGCTGACTTCAAATTTGGAACAATCTACACCTTAAAGTGATGCCATCCCAAAGTTGTGCACCCTGCCGCAACAGTTGCCCCATGTGCGGTGCGCTGCAGGTGACGCAGATGATTAACAAGGATACGACTAAAAACTTGTGTGTGCACATACCATGTTGTGATGGTGGCTCTGCTCATACCATGTCGTCGCATCAGGGTACATACAATAAGAACCAAAACTAGCTTTTAAAAGCATGCTGTAATTAATATTTTAGGGTGCACTCACGCTAACCTGGTACATTTCCTTCGCTATCGGTGGCTTGGCTTATTTGACGAAAAAAAAAAAAAAAAACAATAAGTGAGAAATTCGGCATAAAGTTCCATGGGTGAGATGGCTTGTGGAATCGATTCCCGTGAACAAGGATATATAATCTAAATAATATCAACTGCGAATATACCATGGAAGGTATTTTAAACTAATTTTGAAGTTTACATGCGCGATCAAGCTTCGCGGTATTGACACCCTCAAAGGTGACCCATGGGACCACCTACTTCCCGCATGTCGCCATATGGCAGTCAATAAAGTTATGATGACATCATAGCCACCATTTTTCTTTGGTCGCCTTTGCTCCAGCATACTACCACTCAGCAGTTGCTCGTGTGTCCGTGGCTGCAGCGGCACAGGCATTAAACGTTTTGTGTTTATCAACACTGTTTTCTCGCTTCCTGTTCAAAAAGACTTCTTGATCCGGACCGTGTGTAAGTGCATTAGAGTTCTGTGTGCTGATGTGTTCAGTGTTGCACACACTCAACACGTCAGTTGCACCCGGCGGCTTATCGTTTGTGAAGCTTCCTCAAAGGAAGGGAAAGGCTCTATTGCTACTCTCAGGGGATGTAGAGCTAAACCCAGGCCCTATGAACTCAACCGAAAAAGAGCAGATGGCGAACATTGAGAAGATCCTTTTGGATGTATAAAGTAGTCGGAAAACCATGCTTACTAAACTTGCAGAAATAGTGGCGAAGCAAGCCGACCTGGAACAGAAAATAGACAGCGTGATAGCAAAATCAAATGTAATCGAGGAGCGCATTAAGATTGTTGAAATATCCGAAAGAAAGGCCTTCACAGAGGGGCGCATTAAGGCCTATCGTCGCAACCTTCTCGGAGTGGAAAGCCAGAGAAAGTGTTATGCGTAATGCTTACAAATTTAAGAACACCTCTTTTAGTGTATCCGAAGACTTCAGTCATGCTGTTCGCGAAAAACGACGGCTTCTTTGGAATTATGCCAGGGAAGAGAGAGATAGCAAGGGATGCCGAGTGCACCTTAACTATGATAAGCTTGTTATCAACGGAAAGACGTTCGTGTGGGACAGTGAAATGAACCAACCTGTCCCACTGCATGCACATGTGCGATCACAAGAAGCCGACTGACGTGACGTCAGTCATCGTAGAACTGGGAGAATCGATACTTCAAACACGTGAGGGCGCATACCACTGCTCCTTGTGAACTGTCGAAGTATTAATAATAAAGTTGACGTCTTTGCGTCCCTTGTGGCAACTACTCAAGCAAAAATTATTATGGGTAAAGAATCTTGGCTGGACAGTGTGATACCTGATACTGAGGTCTTCCCACATGGCTTCACTGCTTATAGGAAAGATAGAAATCGCCATGGTGGGGACGTACTTATTCTTGTAGCGAACGAGTGGACTAGCGAGGAAGTTTCTTTCCACAATTTTGCTGAGGCAGTTTGGTGCCGTGTTTTTTTACCGAAGGGAAATACTGTCGTGTTTGGTTGTTTTTATCGACCACCAGACAGTGGTGATACTCCTATGACACTGCTTTCTGAAATGGTACAGTTAATTCCATTGATTGATTGATTTGTGGGGTTTAACGTCCCAAAACCACCATATGATTATGAGAGACGCCGTAGTGGAGGGCTCCGGAAATTTCGACCACTTGGGGTTCTTTAACGTGCACCCAAATCTGAGTACACGGGCCTACACCATTTCCGCCTCCATCGGAAATGCAGCCGCCACAGCCGGGATTTGATCCCGCGACCTGCGGGTCAGCAGCCGAGTACCTCAGCCACTAGACCACTGTGGCGGGGCTACAGTTAATTCCAGACAGTGTACTCCTGAGTGGAGATTTCAATCTACCAGATTTTGACTGGATAACCAGTGGTACACAAAACAGGTCGTCAGGGTATACTTTGTTCGGCGAATTCTTGAGAGTGTTTGGCTTTTGTCAATATGTGAATGTTCCAACGAGACATGATGCCATTCTGGATTTAATATTATGTAATGACCCAAATATCGTTTCCACTGTGTCGGTGATTCCTGGTATAAGTGACCATAAGGCCATTGTGGCAGATTTAAAGATAGAATACTGCCAAGTAGCACATGCAATACCCCGACAAATTTTCCTGTATGAACAAGGTGACTACGATTCTGTTTCTGCAGAATTAGAGTCGTATTACCCAACATTCTTGCTTTTGGCAGAAAGTCGTTGCTCTTTAGCTCTGGTCTTATTTTCGTGATAAGCTACTTCACGCAGTTGAAACTCATGTACCAAACAGAATTCTAAAGAAGAGAACAAAACAAAAGCCTTGGTTTAATAAAGACATTCGCAGGTTAATTAGGAAAGCACGAAATTCGTACAGAAAATTTCGCGATAGGAGTACCACGTCTAATGAACAAGAGCTTAGGCATGTAAACCTGACACTGAAATCGGCAATAAAAACAAGGAAGGATACCTTTTTTGCCCAATTAAGCGATAGGTTAAAGCGAAACCCGAAAGAGTTCTGGAAGTATGTTAAACAAACTAGAAAAGACGATGTAAGTATTCCTGCTCTGACCGTGGAGGGTGATACTTTGTGCACCGATGAAGAAAAAGCTGAAGCTTTTAACAACTATTTCCAATCAGTTTTTACTCAAAGCACACCTGGCGATGTGGGGGCGCTTCCAGTCACGTGGACTTCCATGAAAGACGTGGAGGTTGACATTACTGGTGTTGATTGCTTGTTACGGCAGATAGATACAACTAAAGCAGTTGAACCAGATGGTTTATCACCATTTGTTCTTAAAAACTGTCACAGCGTTATTGCAAAGTATTTATGCGTTATTTATGAAATTACACTAAATACTGGAGTTGTCTCACATGACTGGAAAGTTGCAAACGTTATCCTGCTTCATAAATCAGGTGATAAAAAGCTTGTCGAAAACTACAGACCCATCTCGCTAACAGCAATTCGCTGTAAGTTATTTGAGCACATCATATACAGTGAAACAGTTAAACACCTAGAGTCAATCAACTTCCTCACTCCATCTCAGCATGGTTTCAGAAATAGGCGCTCATGCGTAACTCAACTAGTCGAATTTCAGCATTACATCGCACAATCTATAGACAGTGGCGCTCAAGTAGATGCAGTGTCCCTTGACTTCCGGAAAGCCTTCGACACCGTCCCACACTATCTGTTAGAATTTGCAATGTTCTCTGCAAACATAAACCTTAAAGTTATCAATTAGGTAAAGAACTATCTTGACAATCGACAGCAGAACGTAGTGCTTAACGGGTCAAAATCATCTGCGGTAACCGTTACGTCTGGTGTACCACAGGGGAGCGTATTAGGACTTTGCTTTTCCTGATTTATATTAATAGCATAGTCGATGGTATTACCTCTCACATTAAGTTATTCGCAGATGATTGTGTAGTGTTTAGAGTGATTAAATCGCACAAGGATGCTGAAATTCTGCAGCATGATCTGTACCGAATATTAACGCGGTGCCAAAAATGGAAAATGAGTCTAAACGTCCGTAAATGTTGCTGTGTATCATTCACCAACCGGATTAGTAAACTAGACACAACATACGAAATAAGTAATTCAATAATTAGCAATGAATCCTATTATAAGTACCTGGGCGTCTATTTTTGCGACAATTTCAAGTGGAATAAACACATTGACATAACTGTGACCAAGGCAGGCTGGATGCTATACTTCATACGCAGAAATTTTAGGCAAGCCTCACAGACCGTGAAACAAACCCTTTATCTCATGTATGTAAGACCTGTTTTAGAGTATGCTTGCGTAATCTGGGATCCCCATCAGCAATACTTGATTGACGCATTGGAAAAAGTTCAAAACCAAGCAGCCAGATTTGTTAGCAACAACTATATTTCCTTTGCAAGCATCACAGAAATGAAACGAGCATTGAAATGGGAGACACTGATGGTAAGGAGGGAGAAACTCAGGCTTAAATTTCTTCATTGTATATATTATAATGGAAATGCCATTAACCCTCTTGATTACCTGTTCACACCAACCTACGTCTCTAATCGTCAAGACCATTCAGGAAAAATATTAGAATACCGTTGCAAAACCCACTCTTTCGGTAGTTCTTTTTTTCGTAAAAACAATACAGGAATGGAACTGTCTACCGGATGATCTCGTCAATGAAACTGATAATGAATCCTTTTTTTCTTCATTGTAACAACTCCTACAATATCACTGCCACTAAGAATGGTTCGCTGTCTCGAAGCGTGTGCGTGTTTTCAAATGCATGACTGTGACGTTGTTTTTACTCACCAATATTCGAGTGTTTTTTTTCTCTTAAAATATTTTGACTGCTGTTTTATTTGTTGAATCTATTGTTTCGATTGAAAACTATGTAGTCATATTATTATGTGCACCTCCCCTACGTAATGCCTCACGGCGATGTAGTTGAAATGTAAATAAATAAAAAAAATAAACCTGAACTGAAACAGGTCTGCAATGAAGAGTCTGTAATCAATTACCTGTTGCACTAACAGGCCCCCAGCAACACACTGCAGCGAAAAAACGGGAGTCCAGAACATTTGTGTCAGTACCCTTTGAACTAAAACTATAATAGCTGTCACATTTCAGTTTGTTTCTCACATTTCAGCCATGGATCATTAACATATTTCAACCCTGTATCGGGCCTTGGATGCTGCCTGTGCACTTTATTTTTTTTGCCTTGCAAAAATGGGAGGCTCATACTGTGAACTTCCAGTGCTTGATATTTTTTTCAACCTTTGCATTATGTCGATCTTCCCATATGTTGCTTTGTAAATAATGCAGACTACTCATGTTGGTATGACCAGTTCTGCATTCCCAGAGTGCCTGCGTCACATTAAAGCTTCATATTACCCTCGCTGGGCTGCTGCAGCAGTTTCGTCCATAGCTGCTTTTCCCTGATGATAGTTAGAACGAGCAGCATTTCAAGCTGCTCTAGCATCTTCTATCATGGTGTACTGTCTTGGCCTTCCCCATTTGCAACTAGGGCGTTGCCACGTGACATTTGCACTTAAATTTTTTTCGCATGTGCTGATGTGATATAACCTGTACCTTGCAAACGAACCTGGAGAAGCAGCCGTAAGGCTTTCGTCTTGAAAATATCTTTGTGCTAATGGTGATCTCTACTGATCATGGTAGTTACCTTTCAAGGAAATTTGTAAATGCAGCAGCGCACTTTTTGCAGTCACCCTCTTTTTTTCTGTACTACACAGGTATCTAATTTAGTAGTACTGAAATTTTCTTTTGTTTTGTGATTGCATGATTTAGCTCTTGAATATTTAGCAGTGTAGTTTCACTAGATGATTGAGGCTAATGTTCTGCAACATTTTATGGTGTGTGGGCAGATACTGGGTGCTGATCGAACCTGCTATGCTAGCGAGCACTCTGTGGTGGATCCTGCACGACGTACCATGACTATGCTGTCAAGAAATGTGAGTTCACTGTTGCTTTTTCTCCCTGAACACATTTTATGGTTTCACTGTTGCTTAGGCGAATACGAATGCTGGCATTGGTGCTTATTCGGTTGGGGCATCTTTCCAGGGTGTGTGTTGGTTAAAGGCACACTAAAGGTAAATAACAATTTATGTCGAAGTGAAAACTCGATGTATGTCAATGTCTAAAATGACAGTATTATCAACAGCAGTGCCCTACTTACTGAGAAATTAAGGTAAATGCATGGGAACACATGTGCCACGAGTAAAACACTCGCAAGATGATCCCGATCATGTCAGAGTCACTGCGTACAATTGATCAGTAGTGATCAAACTACCTGCGTTAAATAAAAAACCTTTCATGCATCAAGAGACGTATTAAAATGCTGTATGTTCGTTTCTGTTTGATTCCTGGTAAAAAGAATCACTGCACGTTACTAAAGGGAATGGCGTGAGTGGTTGAAAAGTTCAATTTTCGCCTGGTTAAACTAGACAAGTCGTGCCATATAGTGGGGCCCAGTTGAACCAAGCACACTTGCCATTTCAAAGGCCATGGCAAGAAATTGCTCAGTGGTCGTTGTTCCTGCTGTGGCTTGCGCTACTTTCGCTGTGCTGCTACTAGTTTCGGTGGCCATGTTGTAAAGTTGGGCAACGTTGTGTATGGCAAAAGTGACGCGAGTGTTTTTACTTTGAGGCAGGTTATTTGAAGTATGCTAATGTCATGCGGACCACTAAGACATGATTTTGTTTCAAAATAAGCACTTTCTTGGCATAAAAGTAGCACTACAAGGTTTCTGGACCGCTATTCCAGCAGTCGACATCAAATTTATATTTGCCTTAAGTGTCCCTTAAAAAAAATTCAAGAAGTTGAACTTTATTGAGAGCACTCTTTTATATTAAGAACTAGATTAAAACTTTTACTTTGTGAAACATTTCCTGTATTATTCTTTTCTCTATATGTGGATATTGTTTGGCAGCAATATTTGTGGATGTCTGGTGTACAGTAAGAGCTCATCAGTTCAGATTTGACGAGAGCAGAAAAAAGTGCCTGAATTAAAGAAATTCCAAATTATTAAAAGTATCAAATAAAAAGTGTCTTATTGCCTCACCCCATTTTCGTTATACAAAAATCCAGGACTTTGTATATATGGTACCACGGTAAAAGCTGCAATTTTCAATTCATCACTTCATTGACAGTGTGATCATAGCTTAAATTCAGAGATGCCGCCGCTGCGCCAAAGTGCGCCAAATCAGATTTACTGTGCCATCCTGATAATATCCATGGAAATTGCACCAAACTGTGGCAAAGTCTGGTTTGGAGGCGTCTATCACTGGCAGCCCAAGCAGGCGCGTCAAGACATGTGCATCTTGTTCTAGGGGCCACTAATGTTACAATCGCATGCCTAGAATTATTCTACTGAATAAACAGCAATCGCCCTCGCGTCCCAAGTAATCCACGATGCTATCTTTGGGGCCTACGTAATTTCTGTAGTGCAAGCCCGCTTAACGGGCTCTCCGCAGGGGCTCGTGACGTCTAGCCCAATCGGTGTGTGAAATTGTGGCAGCGATTCATCGATGGACATCATCTGTTCCAGGAACCCTGCTGGTAGCTCATTTGAAGACGATAGTTATAGCTCGAGAACAGAACGACGACACAGAGACAGAAGGACACGAGCGCTCGTGTTTTTTGTGTCCTTCTTGTCTCTGTGTCGTCATTCTGTTCTCGCCCTATAATTATCGTCATGTCATACAAACTAGCCCAAGCTGCCACACTTCGTTTGAAGGGTTGCGTGGTACGTACAATTAAAGAAATCTTCACTAACAACTCCACGCGTGTCGTCAGAATGTCTGTCACGTCTACTTCTTGGCATCGCGGTCCAATTTTCCGTGCTTCGCGTCCACAGAAGAACACGTGAACGGTGAGAATGCGTTGACACTTTCTCTTTAATGTACCGTAATTACTCGAATCTAACGCGCACCTTTTTTCCGGTTAAGCGAGTTCATAAATCGCATGCGCGTTAGAATTGAGTACGAACAAAAAAATTACGGTCAACCTATTGCCATCGGCAAATCCGAAATGGCCGCCCCCTACGTGCGTCGGCATGGCGCACCTTTCCTTCCTCCGTGGCATGGCGCGTCGGCCATTTCTGCCTATGTGTTTCCCATGTGCGGCACTTCGTACGTGTGCTGAGGAGTTCGTCATCTAGTAGTGCATTAGCATCGACGGCGTGGAAGGGCCGACCCCAAATACTCGAGTGCACCACGATGCCGATTTTAAAAGAAAAGTCATCGCTTGTGCAGAAACGGACGGAAATCGGGCTGCATCTCGGTCGTTCGGAGTTCCCGAAACGTGCGAGGGGACCGGCGGAAACAAAAGCAGAAGATTGTCGACAGCAAAGCTTCACGCAAAGGCTTCAGTGGACCACAGCAAGGTCGGTTTCCGCAAATTAAAGAGCTGCTCGGCGAGTATGTGCTTGAGCAGCGAGCCGCACAGCGGCCCGTGACGACAGAACTGCTCCAAGTGCGGGCTATGCAATTAGTCTTGGAAAAAGGTCTAATGCGGAGCCAGTTTAAAGCGAGCAGGTGCTGGAAAACTAACTTTATGAAGAGGAAAGGCTTTTTCCTCCGAAGGGGAACATGCATATGCGAAAAGTTTTGCAAAGGAGTACGATGAAAAGCTTCACAGTTTTCAGAGGTTCGTCCTAAACTTGCGGCGCAACAACGGCTACCTGCTTGGGCAAATCGGGAATGCCGATCAGACGCCTCTTTACTTCGACATGCCTGGCATTACAACCGTCGAGAAGAAGGGGGCGAAGCAAGTTCGCGTGCTGACATCGGTCCACGGTAAAACTACAGTGACGACAATGCTCTGTTACACGTCAGATGGGCACAAGTTTCGCCGAGTGGTGTAATCGTGCGGGCCAGCGAGAAAAATGGGTGCGCGTTGCAATCGATGTCTTACGTTTTTTTTTTTTTTTTCGTGGTGGAAATCGGGTGCGCGTTACAATCGAGGGCGCGGTAGAATGGAGTAAATACGGTACTTTATTTGTGGATCTTCATTCAGGAGTTCATTGTCATAATTCCTTACACCAGCACGTCCGCGTTTGTTATCACTGTTGCAGTAAAAGCCCCTGAATCAGCCCGCCCTTTCGAACTCGCGATTGCTAGAGTGCAAATTAAAAATTTTCTCATGCTTTTTTTAACTGTCATCTCAATAATAAAAGCATGCTTCTTGGTCGGTGCAGCTGCAATTCAGTTTCAGTACGTGCAGCTTTCAATAGGGAGGCTATTGTTGGCAGCTCTGGTGTCAGAAGGGCCACTATGAAGTGGCTACGCCTTCTTACACATGCGCCTCTGGCTTCTTAGGGTCAATAGCTGACGGTTTAAAAAAATATTATACATAAACGTCATGTCATCGCATTCATTGCTTCCTTCTTTATTTGGGGGCGGAGGCAGCGTCGCTTGAAGAGAACATTTGCTAGCACGTGCTATCTCAAGGTATAATGAGACATGTTCGTAAACTTTCTATGCTACTAATCTCTGCTTCACATTTAAATAACTGATAGCACGATAACCGCTTTGCCAACTGGAGTGATCACTGTCTCTTTAGTCAGTGTTTTTTTTATAACAGTTCATAACAACGTTCATAACAGTTCATAAAAGTTCATAACAACGTCCCCTTCCATTCCAAGTTCCTTCCTGCTTTTTGGCGATGGGTAGCGTGTTTCTCTCTGCTTTAGTAACAATCCATGGCAGGCCTGGCACATGGGGGGATGTTATCGCATCCGCACTCTGTGCAAATGAGATAGGTCGGCTTTTTTATGTCTGCTTTAGCCGCGATTGTTGCCCCTTCTCGCGTTTTCTTACCCACTTGTAACAGATCAAGGTGCACCCCCTCTCACCCCCAAAATTCTACCAATGCCCCTGGAAATGGCGAAAACCGGTTGAAAATGTCCATATAATTGCTATTGCAATAATAACAAAAAGGCTCTCTCCTTCGAGTCGTCCCAAGTGTATGTGTAAGCTACGCTGTGAGCTTTTTTTTTTTCTTTATTTATTGCTTTCTGGAGGATACTACAGGGGGATTTTGGGGTATGGACAGAACGCCCTAGCCACATAAATGATTGCTGCAAAGGAAAACAAAGTTTGTTAAATCAGGTAGTTTCAGCGCAGAGAAATGAGTGCTGGAAGAAGTCGGCTTTATGAGACTAGCTAAATAACATCATGTTACGCCCAGCAGTATAGTAATCGGTTGTGAAGAAAACAAACCTTTCTTTATCCTTAGAGTCATCTTAGGAAAATGCAGATGGGACTGTGCGAGTCTCTAGCGTTGTATGTCACAGCATTTGACTATCATATTTACTGATAACCACATAGGTGTAGTTACAGTGTTATTTCATCAAGTGTAACTTTAATTAACAAGTATTATTAACTTATTTGCTATTTATTTGCTTATTTAACCTATTTGCTACAAAGATAATCACTCAACAAGTTTTATAGAATACTCAACATAGTGATGCCATTATTTTTGCATCATCAACTGAAATTGGGAGATAATTTATGCTGTGAGATTTGCAATGAATCGAAATATTTTCAGCTCTTCACAAGAGCCCCAAAATAATTATTTATGTCCTTGAATGTAAATGCAACTTGCTTCTCCTCTGGGATGTGAAGTTTGCTGCTCCGAAAATTGCTCAAATTCAGAAGACCTCGGTAGCATTACTGCCTAAATCCCCCATGTCAGGACCCCTGTGCCATCATCAAGACCATAACGTGCACATAATGATAATTGTTTCGCCTGATAAATTGCCGGTAACTTTTTGTTAGTGTACCACAGTGCAGGAAGCGAGTTTTATGCCAGCAGGCAGACAGTAGAAGTTCTTCATTTTCAACAGCCTTCACTATGTCTGTGTTTTTTGACATTGTGCACATTGCCTGAGGTCAGAACGAAGCTATTTGGTGCCACATTCGCTTTGGATGAAACTGTGGTCGCTAGAGAC